AGAGAGAGAGAGAGAGAGAGAGAAAGAGGGAGAGAGAGAGAGAGAGAGAGACAGAGAGAGACAGAGAGAGACAGAGAGAGAGAGAATTAAATAAGTCAACAAGGGAATTCAAAAGCACGAGAGCATCATGCTCATTTGTTAATTACAGACAATATTTATGAAGGGGTGATAAAATGTATACAATATATATACACGTGCACACAGACACACTTGGTCAACGTGACTAAAGTAAGAAACCAGTAATACTCGGGTGTTGCTAACCTCACCAAAACCAGTACTACCATCTTCAAGAGCTAGACTTATGACAAAACCCTCCCTATAGGATGTGGGAGCCTTCGACTCCATTGAAGCTGAAGTAGGTGGGGCATTAAGCTCAACCCTGCCACAAGTTGGAAACTATATGAAAAATATGAATTTGAAAGATTCATATGGAGGTCTTTGATATTCCTAATTGTGAGTTGCAAACCGGTAGAGAGAGTAATCCATTTTATGTATCTTGTAATCTTGCGACTGGGAATCTTCAACTGACAGCTTTGAGAGGATGTTAAGAGCATTATCCGAGGCTTTCCGAGAAAAGTTCCTCAACTTACTAAAAATTGAACAATATGTGTTAGCATAAGTGGAAAAGTATAGACTTTAATGTGGCAACTGGGAAAGAAATTGGATATACCTATGAATAGCAACGTTCATATCAATTTCACTCTCGACTTCCACCACACAATCAATGTCTTCTTTTTGAGATGTGGACAATGCATCTTCTAACTCCCTTTTTGTTTGCACTTGAACATGCTTCACACTGCTCGAACAATATTTTTCAATAAATCAAGATGGTCGATATCCAATGTAGAGCCCAAAAGTTCAATCAACAAAAGAATTTAAAATAGAGAATGTTCTTCTGTATGAAGGTGAAGGAAGAAGACATAAAATTTCTGGCCCTGGATTTGTCTCATTCACAGACATAAAATGGTCGATAGTTTCTTTTTTTTTTTTTTTTTTTGAAAGTAATTTTTATTAATTGACAGAACCTCAAAGATAATTTTCGCAGTAATCCAAATAAATAAGATTGCTCGTACCCATGTGCTAAACATAGATTGCGTATCGAAACATTGTGAGACGTGTAGAAAAACTGGTCTAGTATGCTTCTATCTGTGGTATTTGCAACTGGTAGTTGACTAAAGATAGCACCACCATGATTGTTAAGCACAAGTATGACCATTGGTTTCCGGTATGTCCTTCACAAGAAAAGGCACACACTGTTAAATACAAACAGAAAAAGGAAACCAACGAATTTTAGAGTAAACACAAAAGGAAAAAGACCCCCCCAAAAAAAAAAATCTCTCTACCATTGTCTTAGTAATGCCAACCCGTTCGTATCATGCAAAAATGAAATATCGCCAATCACAAGAAGTACCTGATATATTACAAACAAATAGAATAGAAACTTACGACGATATTATTACAAACCCAACAAATAAAGTTTTACACAAGTAAAATATTTTGTTTCTTACTCTTTTATTGCAGCCAACAGCAAATCCAATAGCAGTGCTTATCAACCCATCAATACCGCTAGCCCCTCTATTCCCGCTAACATGCACCGGGTGACATGGCAAGCCAGAGCTCAACATGAGAGCAGCACTGTGGGTGCAATGCACCCAGTCACTACCGTACATGTCCGCATCACGTATAGGCATGCTGTTCCCGTAAAACAAAGCTGACCCACAGCGGATTGCCTCGAAGATTTTCCGTGCTACGTAAGGTTCGGTCAAGGATTGTTCCGAATTAATCAGAAATGAGGTCTCCCAGGAAGCCTGTAAAAAGTAAAGTAAATTTGTCATGCAAGCAGTTAATACAATCATAGCTTTACTAGAGAAAGAGGACACTACATTCAATAGCCCCTAACTATGGAGATTTATACTTTACCCCCTAAACCTTTTTATTATTATTTTATCCCCTGAAATTCGTTTTTTCGCCCGACTCATCTTATTTTCTATCCTTAGCGTGTCAGTTTCGGTTAGTCCATGGAGAAGTGCGAGTACAAAAAGGACAAACGCACAGTTTAGGGACGAAGTAAAAGAAACAAAATTTCAACTGTGGAGCCAAAAAGATGATAAATAAGTAGCACATGATAAACGATGGAACTAAAAAAAGCAGACCCTCATGTCCAATCCTCGTATTAACTCCCGCCATTTGTTGCTCGCACGAGGGCTGCAACACTTGATCAAGTAATCAGTGAACTCGGGGATGGTACTTTGGATCCTGTGTGTGATGATATTAGAAGGATCATGACGAGCTGGATGATCATCGACCATGATGTAGGAGCAAGGTGAACAATGATCCATCATCTGGGCAATGCGTCTCCCTGTTATCCGACTCCCAACCTGTTATTAAATCGAAAGAAGAGGAAAAGAAAATTAAGAGTTTACAAGCCAAGATCTGAGTAATAACTAGTTTAATCATCACTTTGATCAAAACTGAACTTAACATGAAAGATATTTGTGTTTGTGCGTGTGGAAAAGAAGATAAGAAAATTTGTTTTCCAAAATTTGAAGGTGCTAATTGGGTGCCATTTTCCTGTCAAGCCCACAGTTATAATATGTTGTTGTTGCTTTTTTTTTTTTTTTTCTCTAATTCAGGAAATCGGTAAGTAACTATACTAGTAATTACTAATTATGAAACATAACCCTGATTAAAAGTGGTCTAAAAAATCCTAAACAAGTTTCGAAATAATTAAAATATAAACAATAGAACATTTGCATTCTTGTTTTGAGATTCAGAAAATGAATTAAAAATTGTGAATTTGACCTGTATTATTACATCTGCCCGCATCCATTCCCTTACAGACTCTGACAGCAACAGCTGGTCGAGCTGATCCACGAACAATATATCCTTGCTGTCAAGAAAAGACGACAAGTATTTCCTCAACCTCAAACCCGACTGGATATCAACAGCAACCGGCCACAATAAGTGCTTGGCCAGCAAAAGAGCTGCCCACATATCGTCTTCCTTCTGAATAGAACCCAACACCAAAATCCCATGATTAGCCCTTTGGACCACCCTAACAACCTCAACCATCTGCTCTCTCACGTTACTATAACAAGTCAAAGAATGGCTGGTTAATGGCTCGGCATTTGAAATCCAAATGTCCAATCCACTTAAACACTTGGGACTCCAAGTTTTTGAGGTACTTGCAAGTGGCTCCCGGAAAGGGCAGTTGATGTGTACAGGGCCCACTGGGGATGATGTTGATTTAACAACAGCTGAGTCTACTGTAGTTAGTACGTATTTTGCCGATATTTCGTCTGTAGGAGGAGGGAGACTGAAAAAGTGCCTCACGAAAGACCCATAATGCTTCACCTGAAATTATTTTCTTAGTAATTTGTAAATAATAATGAGATCACAGCCAAAATTTTGTATACCTGATCAATAGCTTGGTTAGCCCCAACATCTACAAGCTCGGGAGGGCGATCAGCCGTTAGCAACAGCATTGGTACAAAACTCTGGCAAGCCTCAACCACCTATTTAATACACATCAAACAAGTACAAGAAATTAATCAAAAGATTTATTTAAAAAACAGTTGTAGTCGAGGAGCTTTTGGAACTCACAGCCGGAAAAAGATTCGTGACAGCTGTGCCTGATGATGTTATGACAACTGCCGGTTTTCCTGAACCTTTTGCATAACCGAGCGCATGAAATGCAAGAGATCTTTCATCAATGCATGCAACACAAGTGGTAAGAGGATGACTGGCGGCGGCAATTGTCAAGGGAGATGACCTTGATCCAGGGGCCACACAAAAATACTAAATGAAAAAAACAAAACTATAGATAAGAAGATAAAGAAAAAAGAGAAAACAGAAAATCGGAAAACAGTTTTGACAAATATCTCTTACCGTCAAACCAAGTCGAGTGCATTCCTCAACTATAAGGTACGCCCACAAAGCATTGATGTTGGGGAAATCTTGAATCACATTGTTGACTGATTTTGTTTCATCTATCTGATTCGGGAAAATACACACATCTGAGTTGAAATATAAAGCAAGATTTTGGGGGAGTCTATTATACATCAACTGATAATACCATATCTAAGCAGGCAGAAATATTTTAATTCTTTTAAACAAGAAAAATTCTTTAAGAACATTGATCTGGCAGAAATCAGTTGACTAGCCAGCATTTCAAGCGCTAATGCAACTCATTTAGCATTTGATCAGCTTTGCCAGATTATCATCATTGGCACTATTATATCTTGACTAAGAAAAAGAACAAGACAGGACCCAAGTATAAATCGATGGCCTGCGTATAACTTATGAGATCTTACAGTACATGCTTGCTTACGATAAAAACGTAAATAACATGAGCTTTTACCATGTTATCTGCAATTGATAAAGTTGATGAAAGCCTAGCAACAAACTGACTGCAACAAGACAAAGAATCTCCCTGTACACAAAATACCCATGAAAACAGTCAGCTTTTACTTAATTTTTTCCCTTTTATATTTAAGAAAAAAAGAAAGCAGTCGTCGCAATAAGAAATGAGATGAAGAAAATACCAGCCCCAGGGTGCTGGCTGCTGTGTGCTTCCCATCCAATAACAAAGCATTTGCACGTACCTACCAAAACATCTTTCCAGATGTAATTAAAAAATAAAAATAAAAAATGGAACAAGTAGTAAAAACTAAAAGAACCGACCTTTTCAATACTCAAGAAATGAACCTTCCCTTGGAAAAACTAAAAAACGACCCTATGATTATTTTACTGGCAACAAAGGTAAAATTCATCTTTACCATTGCCTTATGTTTCTCTGCATTGCGATACTTTGAAAGAGAAGACCGAATAAGTTGGCTTCTATTTGCACAGGTATGCATGGCCTGAAATAACAAAATGGATGAGACAAGACATGAATATATGTATGTATGTATGTATGCATGTATGCATACATATGCAAATGTTGATCACCAAATTGTACTACTGGTCAACAACCTATTATTATGGCTAAATCCTAAATTAGCTGATTTGCAAGATGAAGAGGATACATATACAAATTTTCAAAGTATGTTCTAAGTGGCATAGATTTGACTCTGGAAAGACTAGGAATCTGAGAAATTTAGCATAATCTGTGGGAAGTTTAAAAAACGTTTAATCAACTAACTGAAGCTTATAAATTCAATACCAAGTGTACTTGTGAAACAATCAGTCGAAGAAAATTAGGCCTTTTACCTCGGCCAATCAAAGTTAAATTTTTATATCAGTGAAAATTCTCTAGTATGTTTGCTCCTCTCTTGCAGAAACCACAAGATCATGAATATGAGATTCACATACCCACTTGTCTTTGATAAACAAATTTTAAATGACCTCGCACTACCTGGTCTAATGCAAGCTCAAATCTTCGAACAGCTTCACTAAAGGTACAAATTGAAGAGTCGTCCCATGCCAATGTCGCGGTCAAGGAAGGGATATCTTCAAACTCATCCAACTCAATCTGTTGGAAATAAATAATAACACATTATTTAGAAAACAATACAGAGCAAAACTAAGAACAGTACGAACAAGTGAACGAATGATTTTTCACCTGAGGGATGAAAAGGTAATACGAACCACTCTGATGCTTTATAGCAGACATGTCGGTGACGAACTCAATATCCAAGAAACCATAAACCTTTGCACTTGTTGGTTCAGCCAAAAGATGTCTGCAAAAATATGACATTAAATGCTAAAATAAACACATTTTGTTTTGAATTTTATAGTTATAGTTTCAAACAACTCCCAAAATATAACGATTTTTTTGCTAGGAGAGTGAAAATATGCTCCTCATAACTGATAGCTGAACAAATAGGAATATAAGCTTTTATCAATTTAATAGTTGCAACAATGAGGTATCTGTAATTAAAGCTAATTTGGGATTTGACAAAGCGAAATGAAAGAAAGGAGGTTACCTTCTAATATCACTGCCTTTTCCTGCACTATGAGGAGAACAATCCTTGAAGACAACGGCTGAACCAATACCGAAAACACCCCTGGTTCTTCCAAGAGAGAGCGAATTATATGTCGGATTCTCCTCATTGGAAAGGAAAAATAGAGGAAAAATGTTTGACTTATCCGGTTGGGAGCAAAACCAGTTCAATGCTTTTGCACTTGGTGGCACTGCCAGCTGTGAACATGAAATTAACACAAAAGGGGCTCATATCTTTGTAGAAGTTCAGAAGGAAATATTTGTAATCAATAGAACTATTCTTGCGAAAATTAACACAAAATTATGTGTATTACAAGAATGAATAGAACGATTTAATTATTGGAGATTCTGATGTTGTACCAAAGAAGCCATACAAGCTTCGGATGTTCCGCACTTGAACAAACATCATCATTTGCCACATGGTAACATTTCACGAATATACACAAGGCAAAAATGATTACATTTTCTAAATAGATAAAAAAAGTCAAAAATATTGTATGATTCCAATAGTTAGGATGATGACCAAATGAATCAAAACATAAAAACTTCGACAACAACATGAACAGACTTATATCATGGCAACATGATGCCTTTGCAGACGAAATGAAGTTTTTCCTAATATAACAGACAAACGGATTAAGGTCAATCAAAAGTGAATAAACTTATCCGGGGCGTGCTAGATTTTAAAATTTCAGCTCAATATCCTTTTTTTTCTGCATGCGAGCGCCCTTAACTATTTTTAAAACTACACTATCAACAATTTTTCAATTAAAGAATCACCAATCACACACTATATACTCAAGAAACAGGACAATTCCAATAATCATAATCATATCACATCATATATCCACAAAGCACTCTCAAAATTCATTTCCCATTTCGTAGAAACAACTCATGCTTCTCTCTCTGAAAACAGAACTAAGACCAAACAAAAGCCGAACACTCGACTTCTGTTCGATTTTCGAATACCTGAAATCTGTACATCCCACTTGAGCAACAAGGAGGATTAACCCTCAATTCCTCCACGGACCCCTTAATCCTCTCCAGCCCTTGTTCCAAACTCAAAACCGGCGGCAAATTACGCGTAATGCAAGTATTGACCAGCAATGCCGCATCTTTAGCATCCAAGACTTCATTCTTTTCCAATGAACTGCTCAAAACCTGCAAGATCAAAAACTCAAGAACTCAAACATATAACCCAAGAAAACCCATAAGTCCTAAAAATCGAGTCTTTGAGGATTTGAACCTGGGAAATGGGATTTTGGTGGTGGCTAAAGCGAGTTAGACATCGGAAAGCAGGTTTCATTAGAAAAGCGCGCTTGGTTACTGTGATTATGGTCTTCTGGTTGGGTTGGAGTGGAGAAAGTGGAAAAGGGAGCGTAGATTGAGAGTAGAATAAGGTGAAGGAGCTCATTTTGTTGATAAATTAAATGGAGGTTCAAAGAGTAGGAGGGCGCTAAGTCCCAGAGAAGAACTATGACAGTTGCTGGGGGTTTAGTTATATATATATATACACACATACTTTTATGCTCCATAGCAAAACCGTTTCAAAGAATTGCCATACTCTTCCAATTTTTTTAGATACAATTTTTCTAAATTTTGAAAGTGCTGCAACTATTCTTTTGTTCAAAACACGTGTGTTCTTGGTTGTTCATCATAAATTAGATTTCTTCTTTCACAGGAATAATCTTTTTTTTTTTTTTTTTTTTTTT